CTGGGCGTTAATTGGCAGACTAAGCAGAGGTTTTTTTTTTTTGCCATCTCAGGGGCCTCTAATTTTAGACATTTTAAACAGCTTTTCATGACCCTTTTATTTGGCTTGCTAACTATGTGAGACTGAACTTCCTTGTCGAGTCTCCTATTTTGTATCTAGCCTTCTTTAAAACTATTTTAGCTGCTTTATTCAGGGCTTTTGGTCCTCCCCTTAATTTCTTGCCTTCAAAACCTTCATTTCTCCATGATCATTCTACCACCCAACATTCGGATTTTTCCAGTTTTTTAGCAATTTCTACAACAGATAAGCCAGTAAATTGAAGTATACAGGCTTATGCTCTCACGCAGCTGAACGTTTTTGCGTTAAGGGGTTTATCTTTCGTGATATTCACAAAAAAACAAGGAAGGAGTTCGAGCGATTCGGGCTATGAAATACAAAAAATGTGTGGCTGGAAAATATACTCGCGCACGCGCACCTTTGGCGCGGAAGTAGACAAATCGAATATTCGAGTCAAAAGATGGCACAACAAGTATGAAAATAGTGAATTATATTGAAAGACATAACTTTTGTTAAAATGATTTGCTTACCAAGTCCAATGTTTCTGAAATACAGACTTATAAAGTAGAGGAACGAACTTTTGGGACACCCTGTAATACTAGAAGTCAGCTCTTCTGATTTCCGTAGGAATAACTCACGAATTCGTGTTATGCTTTGTGCTATGTCGTCTACTCGGCGAGAGCCGATCCTCTGTGCTTTAGATCTTAACTGCAGGAGAATAGGTCATTTGCAAGATGGCGTCATTTTACTACTTCGAGCAGAATCCTTTTCGTTTTTCCTTTCATATTTAAATTCTGTAATCCCAGTGAGGTTTAAATAACAAAAGCCCTAATTTGCACAAGAAAGCAAAACCCTGAAGGATTCTGGTCGTAGTAGTAAAATGATGTCATGGTGCAAATGGCCTATTGGTCTCAAGATTGTACATTACGTTTTGTTGTAGCAGAACATTCGAAGACCTTAGAACCTGGTAAATGTCTTCAAATTACGTTTGTATCATTACCTGATAGGCCATCTTTATGTACAAAAGGGTCTACAGTAGCCGGGCCGATACTAAGTTGTTTACTTTATTTGTTAAACCCCATAAGCCAGTGTCCTCTAACAGTGTAGCAAGGTGGATTAAGTCAGTTTTGTCTAATGCGCCGGGGTATAGATCTACCTCAGTTTTTAAGGCACATAGTGCCCATGGTTCTTCTGTCACCAATGCATATAAGAGGGGTGTTCCAGAAGCAGAAATTTTGCGTACTGCAGAGTCGATGAATGAGCGTACCTTTCGTAAGTATTATATCAGAGAGTAGATTGTTCTTGATTTATGTTATTCAAGACTCTTTGTTGGAGGATCTATCTGCAATAAATTATGTCACGACCTTTTGCAGTCACTGCAATGTATTGGCTTCGGTTCTTTAAAATCGCATTATTATCCCAAAATGTCGAGCATATCGAAAGAGAACTATAAATTAGACAAACTAGATACTTACCTTGAAGTGTAATTATAATTATCTTAAGATATGCAGAACATTATGGGGAAATGCTTCCCTCCCTACTTTGATGTTAACAGTTATTTTATAGCACCTTCCCATACCATGAGACCTTCGCTAATTTCACACCTCAGTAAGAACTGATAATTTCCATCCTCTCCCGGGATTATATACCGCTGATGGATTTGCATTTGAATGGCTTTGAAGTGTGACTGCTGAAGTGTTAGTTACTTAGGGAGTATGCGCAATTATCCCATAATGCTTCGCATATCTTCAGAGAATTATAGTTACACTTCAATTATTAATAATTATATTGTAATTATAATTCTGCTTAAGTGTGTACGAAAATCAAAAATAATTATAATTATAATTATATTGAATTATAATTACACCTCTTGTCTAATTTTTAATTTTCGTACACGCTTCAGTAATCATTGGTCGAGACAAGAGAAGCTTTCGTGGTGGAGGGAATGACGTACCTTCACCCCGGGCTCTTTCGGCTCTTTCGTCCATCATGCTTTGCGGCAAACATGGCGGTAGAGGTCGGACATGCTGTTGTACAAGAAACTTTGGAGCATTTAGATTCCTGCCAAGACGACGATTTTAATAGAATTTTGCTTCGAATGGAGTATCTAAATCGTACTATAATTATAAATTAGGGTGAATTACCTGATTCTATCGTGGTTGGCATAGGATCCGCCCTAGGATGTTTATCGAGCAAACAAAGATCGAGTGTTGCTTCATAATGGCAAACCGTTGAAAATGTATCGGGGGATCAGTTCGTATTCCTCGTAGCCAGTGGGTTTACAAGACCAAACATGAGTGAACTACTGCGAATTAAAAAACAAATGGTAGAAAAGAGGGTGTCTATGTTTAGGGCGGTTTCTTTGTTTGTTTGTTTTTTTTTTGGTTTCGTCACACGCACACTGCTTCTATAAGTCTACGTTTCCTCGGTTGTTTTGTTATTTTTAGATGCCTCACATAAACAAAACCTCAAATATGCTATTTCTTTTTAACTCGATAACGAAATCTCCTGTCACAGCAACACAAAGCTAATTTGCAATAGTTACGTGACTGATTATGTCATTACCTCTAGATGCGACATGGGAAGATATTTTATGGCAAGTGTTATCTTGTTGTAGTGTAACTGTAATTGTTCTAGCAATAAAATTGTCAAAGTCCGCTTTTTTGAAAATACCTTAAAAGATTATAGGAGTTTATTATTATTATTATTATTATTATTGTTATCATTGTAATTATTATTATTATTATCATCATCATCATCATCATCATCATTATTTATTTTTACTTGTAATTTCTTGCCGTAATGAACCTGTAGAAAGTTTGGACTAGATTGTATTCTCCTTGTTTAGTCTTGGTGCGTTACGAAGCTCTCTTAACGAACTGTTTTGATTCGCTAACAAAACAATAGAGAAATGACTCAATTAAAAGATGTCCCCCCTAGTCTGCGAGCAAGCCCTCCATTTGGGGGAAGTCGCGAGAATTTACAGGAGAGCCGTACCCGAAAGGAGACGGCGAAAACCTGCCTTTTAATTGTGACAAGTTGTGCGTTATTTCTTAGAAATTTTACTCAAAAGACCCTCTGATGGTGTACTTTGGTCATGGCATCCCACAAAGACAAGTCAATCTGGCGCAGGGGTGAGTAAAACCCTTTTAAACGGACTATCTTTTAATCATCATTATTCGAAATAACACTATTGCAAATAAAGAGGATCTGGTTCAACCCATTCAACAACGGAACCATCCTAAACCACCCGAGGGATTCCATCTTTTCTATTGCTTGTGACGTCATCGCATTTAAAAAGAGGAGGGGAAGAGATCTTTTAAACCATGCCCGAACGAACACGATTCAGTAAAAAAAAAAAAACAAAAAAAAAACAAAAAAAAAAAACGGGGAAAAACACAAAAAGCATGTAAATTTGAGCCGAAATCCAAATAAAAACCTTGTTACCCTTTCATTTATCCAATCCCACTATCCTTTCAGCTTTCCTCAAGACTTTACCCACTGAAACGAAGCCCAGTAAATGCACAGGAAAATAATAATAATAATAATGAATAGATAAGCAATTCAAAATAAATAAATGAATGAATGAGTGAATGAATGAATAAATAGCAATTTATATTAAAAGTGGATTGGGGATGGCAGTGTGACTTTCAAGCGTCCAAATCTTCTGGTTATGCCCTGACTACGGATGAAGGATCAGGAGGGAAAGGCAGCTTAAGGAGCGTCTTGAGTAGTTTTTGTTCTCCTTGGTCAGATAGTGACTAGAAACGCCTCAACTGGTTTTAATTTTTTTTTTTGGCGTCAAAATATTTCCAGTAGCGAATGGGTTAACTAGAGCACCACTGAATATGATGCAACTTGCTGCTTACGGACTTCAACTTTTCTTTGAGGAGTGGGTTGAGATGGGTGGGCGGATGTCGTGTGTTTATCATTATCATTACCTGCTTAAACTTTGAAATAAGTGGGATATGGCGTTAACTAGAAAAGCTTAGCGAAAGCACTAGTTTAATACACAAATATATTGTGGTAAGTTTCATATATGATGTTTTATTACCGGAGCTCAATAAATAAAGAAGACATGATTACGATTTGGCAAAATCGGTTAACAGAACGGTTACATTTAACAGAAAGTCTCTTACTTATGAAGAACTCCAATGCAGGTACAGTTTACAGGTTTTTTCGCTATGTTTCTTTGTTTCGGTTTTTAATTATTCACTTTTGCCAAATAACTCTTGCATCATTTCCTATTAAAGTCAAAAGTCGAGGCGTTGCTGAATTCTACATCCGTAGCGGGTACTCCCCTACTAAAGTGACTGGGCTGCTCGTCGTACCTTGTAGGGGTTTAAATTTGTGGATTGGTACCGCTTAGGGTGTTAAAACTTAAAATGACTGCTGTCAGAATTAAGACGCCTTATTCGGATAAAGATTTATGACAATACATTCAAAAAGGGCTTGAGAAGAAAGTGTTCGAAAGTTATCTTTATTACTATTAAAATTTGCAGTGCTAGTTATATTATTTGTTGTTGTTGAATTGCCCCCCCCCTCCCACAGGTCCTACATGTGTTTAGATTGTAATCAGGATTTCTTGATAAGCTTCATTATATTAGATTTGACATTTTTGTTCAGTCCAGAATGCGATAAATGTACGTAGAAAATAGGAATTTGCAATAAAAGCAGTTTTTCTTTTTTGGCTATCAAATATTCTCTTAACCTTTCTCTCTAGTTCTTCGGTTAAAATTAACTGACAGTGCCTTTTAGTAGGATAAAGAAATTGCTGGGGTACTTGGGATAAAAGCCTTAGCAACTTTTGTCGAACAACTAGATCCTTGCTCCGATTTGCATTGTACAATGAAAGGGAGAATCGAGAGTTACCTATAGCCTTCTTTCATGCACCCCTGGAAGTACATGTACAATGCGTTTTGACGCCTCTTTCATTATTTTAGTGGAATGTAGGATCACGCCAGAAGGCATATTCAGTTTGCGACATCACCATTGCAAGACAACCAACTAACTGGCTACGAACAGATTTTATTGGCGTCAAGGATGCTAAAATGGTGAATGTTAAACTGAAATACAAACTTTTGGGATGTCCATCAACTTCAAGTCTTTTCTGCAATTACGCGTTTAGCATTTATGTGCTTCATGTAGATAAAGAATTAATTGGAGTTGATTTAGACCCTCTCACAGCTAATAAAGTAACATACCAAAAAGTGGAAACAATTGTGCCAACAATCCTGCCTGCATCTAGAAGGTTAAAGACGTATGATTATGATAGTAAAATCATAACCAAAAAGGGAGGCGTGTATCTTGCATTCTTAGACCAAGGAGCCTGTGTGTTATTATCAAGTGTTATTGTAAGCTACAATTATTGCTCCGAGATTGACAGAGGTCTGGTGAGATTTTCAAGGACAAGTGCTCCCGTGAATGACTCTTATCTAAAGGAACAAACAGGACGTTGTACTGATGTGAACTCAATCAACAAAGTGAAACTGTCAGGCGTTTGCCTCAGTAACGGAGAATGGAATATCACTGATGGAATCAAATGCCTCTGTAAACCTGGCCATGAGCTTGTCATCGGATCTGAGGGAAATGTCCCGGAATGCAGTGGTATAAACGGAAATTCTCTTTTTTTTAAGTGTGGCGGTGGAAGTTTTTTTTATTCACTTTATTCAACTTAATCACTTTAAATTACCAGTACACAAACACATTAGTAATAGGTTACAAATGAACAAACGTTACAGCTACGATTAACACACAGACAATTGAAAATTACATAAGATCATTTGGGTTTCACAGCTGTGTTAACAGGGCGGTGGAAGTATTAGCAACAGTTTGTTTCGTTGTACCTTTTTATGTTGAACCTAGTATGCACTTGATACACTCCTTAGGTACAGTAAAGTATGCTCAGAAACTTATGGCACCAGTGTGGTACTGTCTCTCCTAGTCTTTATTTGCCAATCGTAAACCATCTTACTCAGGGACACCCAACGACTGTTTAATCTGTAAAATATCTGTTCGGAAAAGCAAACATGGCCTAGAATCTTCCATTGGTTCAGGACGGCTAAAAATTTCTAGATGCGCCGTTCCATTCATGTACAATTTTTTAAGCTTGTCTAATAAATTTCCTAAAATTTTCTGAACTTTATTTTTTAACATTCCACTCCCCATGCTGGGCTATTTTTCGTAGAAAAAGGAAAACTAAAATGTTAGGATTCGAAAATGCATGCAATGGAGAGACGAAAATAGAAAAATTATCTCTTTCGTTATTAATACTGAAGCCCTTGTAAATTCGAAGAAGTCTCAGGTTCTCCTAGGGTGACCGAACACCTATAAAAATTTTATAGCGCCGCTTATTATGCCCCTTACATAATAGCCTAAAAAGTGCTTTCAATGTATTTAGGAGGAAATCGTCGTTGGGTGTCCCTGACTTTGTGACATGCTGCTGCTCATTAGACTAAGCTTGCAAACTCTTTCTGTTTCAAACCTTCCATGCACTGACTTGAAATCAATTAGTAATCTAGCGAAGGTCTGTCCACATAGTGCTAAGGAATGTTTTTATCAATCTTATTTTTCAAGCGTGCCTCACAGGCTTTTACAAGAGTGTTGCAAGCAACAGTAAATGTAACCAGTGTCCTACAAACTCAGCGTCTAATACTGGAAGAACAGGTTGCTCATGCCATGAAGGGTTCTACAAGAAACCTGGATTACATGTAGCTCCTTGCAAAGGTAATCGTAGATCCCGAGTTCTAAAATTTTATTTATTATTCACTCAAAATGTTTCGCCGTTTCTGATTGGCCCAAATCCCCCCGCTCTTTCTTCATAACCAACCAACGTTGAAACCCTAAGTTACCAAAATTATAATAGAAAAGCTCTTTAAGGGTATAATTTAGAACTTCCCGGCTCTAAAGATCCATTTCTAGGTAACTACATTTAGCAAGAATAAAAGAAGTCTTTGAAAGTATTTAACTTACCTCCGATGATCTCGATCTCTTGCTTGTCTTCGAGACTTTTCTGGCACAAAACAGAAAATATCTCTTAATAAAATTTTCTCTTTTGAACCGTTTTTTTTTTTTTTTTCAGAGCATTGTCTATGGCAATGAGCTAATGAACTACTGTTGTGGCCATTGAAATATTGTGTGGTTATTGATCATGGACTAGCGTTGGCATAAAAGCATGTAGTAGTGTTTTACTCTATTCTAATTGGCCAGTTTCGAGTTCACTCTGACCGCTGAATAATGAGTGAAGACGCGTTTTTACAGTCTTAACCTCGACATAATGTAAAATATTCACTAATTCCAACGAGAAGAAGACCTGTTTATTACTCTTTCTATTGTGTATTTTCAAATTTCAAACACTCACTTGCCGGAATTTGTAAATATTTTACTTGAGGTCGAGACTAACCCTGTATGAATTTGTCGTTAATGTTTGTATTCAGCGGCAATTTTTAATTCGAAAAAGGATTATAACTGTAAGCTGGTACTTACAATAATATAATTCAAAAAAAGGTAAACATGCAATGTGGATGATCATATATTTCCCATTTGTCCCGCTTTAAAAAACTACCCTGCCCAAGTAACACCCCTCTATGTGATTTGTTTTAAGTAAAAATGAAAATAAAATAAGAAAATAATTATGCTAACTTATGCAAATCAATCCTCCCTCAGCTTTACCAAAGGCACCAAGAAATGCTTATCTCGATGTTGTTAAGGCAACTTATGCTAAGATTAAGTGGGAACGCTCACCTGATGACATCGATGGACTGAAGTTAAGATACTCCCTAGATTGCTTCAGATGCAATTCTAGCAAATACAAGGATTGTAAGGAGTCATGTGGACCAAGTGTGGAGTATAAACCGAATAAGGACAACATCACAAATGGTACTGTGACTATAATTGGCTTGCTTTCTGATAGTTTCCTGAAGTTTCGAGTTTACTCCGTCAGTGAGTTAAATGAACAGGAGAAAGATAGAGACAAATGGAATTATGTTACGGTATCCACAAAGACTAAAGGTAAGTAATAATTGGCTGAGGAGAGGACTGCGGTTGACGAGTTGTTTACCTGCTCAGACAAACCAAATTATCATACACCAAGGTCACTGTGACAAAGCCATTTTCAGGGAAGACTTAGAAAAGATGTTTCCGATATTCGAAAACTCTCTCAATAGAGTAGGGTAATCTTTAGAAAAAAATCCCTATATATCACGGATTTGCCTCAGGACAGGCTTGCAAAAGGACCTAGCATCGATCGAGGTAACCTTGCTTTAATTACAAACTACAGCTTCTTTTTAAACTGTGTATTATACATCAGTCAATTCCAGCTGCGTCCATCCTCCCGGGCTACTGCGGGGCATTTGCTTACCCTGTCTGTTCCAGGGGTAGGGAATTAGCAAATTTTACGTGGCCCTAGGGTGGGGCATTTGTCAACGCCGGGGCCACTCCCGAGCTTTTGGTACGCACGTAGTCGATCCTATCCAAATATGTCAGAACGTGAAGGATTTTAATGGAAACGCACGCCTTGGCAGATTGGCTCACCTGGGAAGGACGAGAAAAACTTGTATAGGTTTTTAAAGGCATGCTGTCTCGACATCATGCATGTATTTCTTCACTGCTCATTAAACCAGAAGTTCCACATTAAAATCGGGACGTAAATCGACGTAATTATTTTGTTTATTTAATGAAATTTCTGTTGATCGGTGATAGGAATAAAATTTAGGGGTATTGAATTTAATTCTTGTAGCGGAGCAGCTCTCTCGCACGAAGCGCGCCAGCGGAGCACCAAGGGTAAGAAAATTTGGTAAACTATCCGAGAAAATTTGTTTATGACGTAGCGTACGAACGACCGTCCGTACACCCACTACATGTGAGCCGATGCCAATTGTCAGGTTATTTTGGCGGGAAAGCGTATGGCCACCCGCGTCTTGTGAAGCAGACACAACTAAACAGTCAATAAAGACGAGAACGGAAAGCGGAAAATGTTTCTCCATCCGTGTTTTTTTTTTTTTTAAGTATTAAGCTTAGATTAATTGTCATGTCCACAAGTTTGGAATATAGACAAAAAGGAAAGACAGAGAAAAAGAGAATGTAGGGCGACAGGCCAGCGAAGTTCAACGAGAAAAGGAGCTAGAGCGAGAGAGAAAAAACAAAAGGAGACGTTTTCTGTTTGAGGAACAATATGAAATTTTTTGGCGGCGGTATGCTAGCGGCAACCAGGGTAGAAATGAGCGACAGTGAAAAAAGAGTGAAAAAGAACACGTCCGACATTCCCTCCATAAAACGTGTAACTAGGAAGTTTCTGGCAGTTTCACGTAACAGTCGTGCAAAACAACGGTAAAGAAATGTACAAAAAAAAAGTGTGCTGCACGTGCAAAGTTGCTTTTTTGCTAATTAGACCTATTGTTGTTGTTGTTTTTTTTTTTACTGTTCTCGTTATACGATTTTATATTATGTTTGAGCAAACTAATCAGATCATTAAATCATTAAGCTACTATTAACCCTCGGATGTACAACGTGGGGGGTGGTGCCCCCCTTTTTTTTTTTTTTTTAGACGATAAAACATCATGAAACGGCAAACTGATCGTTACGGAAAGATGATGCTTAGGCAGAAGAAGTAAAAATATACATTTAGACAAATTTAAACATCAGCACCTGAAGTTTTCTGTAGCTGTTCGTTTATCACTCGCACGTATTTTGAGACAAGTTTAATTTTGTGATGGCCAGTTACTATGGTTACGAGATATGAGGTCATAATTAGCAGGTAGTAAGGCCATTTTAGAATGAAAATGTATGTTTTCAACTTTTTTTAACAATAAAAGTAAACCTTAGGGGTGAAATGATGCAAATAGCTTGTTTATGTGTTATTTTACATGTCAAGCACAAGAAATTACCATTTCTCGCAGTTTAACCTGATTTCACGTTTGACTTGATTTCTAATTCTTAATAAAATTATCGCCCAAGGTGGCAACCATTCTTACAGACCTTACAGGCCTCCAGCAGCACCACCACACATAAAATGTACCTCATCTTGTTGAGAAGATCACAGGCAATTCGTTTTGAAATACCGCAACATATCAAAAACCAACGAGGGTTAATTTGACAGTTAAATCATACAATTGCCGATTGCTCTTTGCCGTAAACATGATTCCAGATCTCACTGTTGTATTTTAATATTAATGACATGCGTGTTTAAGGCCCCGTCCACACTTATCCGTGTTTGTTTGAAAACATGTTTTTCCACCAGTTTGGCCCAGCGTCCGTAGTCCGTCCTTCCGTATCCGGTGAAACGGTCACCGAAAACGCATCTTTTCAAAAGCGCTCTCCACAGTAGAGATTTTTCAAAACGCCGGGTTTTCGTTTTCATGTGGACGGATGAAAATGGAGGTTTCGAAAACGATGATGTCATACACAAAAAATCCATCATTTAAATACAACATAGCATGACGCATGCTCTATAAGCGATAACGTTTTTACGTTTTCATGTGTACGGGTGAAAACGATTCGAATACGCTACGTGTGGATGGGTATTTTTTTGTAAAGCGGAGAAAAACAAATCTCCGTTTTCAAAAATCTCCGGATACGCGTGGACAGGACCTTCGTCAGTTAGTCAGTCGTAATTCAACGAATTGGTAAGAATTTTCAAAAGGAAGGAAGGAGGGAAGGAAGGAAGGAACCATTTCTTTAATTCATTATTTTGTTGTCGTTGTTGTTGATGTTTTTCCTGTTAATGTGTGTTTGTTTATTCTATCAAACTGTTAAGCTCAAGATGTTCCCGCCGTTGAAGGTTCATCATCGAAGACAAAGATGGTGATTGCCCGGTCAGCTGGTGGTGGCGGTTTGCTGTTACTTATCCTTGCCATCACGATCATTATTGTCGTCGTTCGCTTCAAAAGGTAGGTTAATGCCTTATTCAAGTCAACTTTAAAATTTTAAGAGGAGAACCCCCTTATTTGTTAAAATTTCTACGAATTCGAGTATTGGAAACGGTAGTCAGGTAGTGGTAATGGTAAACTAAGGTTTGTAAACTTGCGGTAATTAAAGCTCAGTTATAAATCATGATTCAATTAGTTTGTTTTGTGTTATAAAAGTAAAACATATTTTCAGTTTATGAAAATATATAATATATATATCTAATATAATATATATATAATATATATATAATATAATATAATATAATATAATGTATAATATAATATAATATATATATATATATATATATATATATATATATACGTGTAATAAAGTGGCTAAAGCCGTTAAACAGTGCTCAATACACTTTTTAAGTGTAGAGCTTTGAATAAGAAGATATAACGAAGAGACAAAATTATATGTTATATTATATCTTATATCTTCTTATATCTTATATTATATCTTATATCTTCTTATATATATATATATATATATATATATATATATATATATATTAAACGGAGTTATAACCTTTGCTGACATTTTGGGTTTCGATTCAGTGTATAATGTATCGAACTCTCAAACATCGTTTTTTTATAATTTCTGTCAGGTGGTCTATTTACTGTTCGGGTTTATTTGTTTGATGAATCTTAGTTTCTGGGTTGTACATTCCCATTAATTGGAACATCACCAAGTAGAGGGAATGACAAGTATTTACTGGTCCATTAACTTTTCTCCAGGTCATAAAAACATAAAGAAAATTACCTTTTTCACACTAGAGACTGATACATATCAGTATATTTTCGTCAGTAGTGTGAAAGGAGACGAACAC